GCAATCCTCAGCCAGCAAGGACTGGACACTTCCTAGCCCCTCCCACTTCTCAGTGGCACCGGCCTGGTCTCCGGAATGGCTTGGGCAGCACGGACGCTGGCTTGGCCGGTCGGCCTACTGACTCAGCATCTCCGGGGCTGGGCTGTGGAAGCTGATTTCAAAGCTTCTGCAGGCCTAGGGGGTCACTGCTTCAGAGAACCCTGGCGAAGCCACGGAACCACTTTGGGTCTGTGGTCAGCAAGCCTCCAGTCCACTTCTCGGCCGCTGTGTGACCTTGTGGGGGGGGAGTGATCTCCATCTCTGGGCCTCAGTTTCCCGCTCTAGACAAAGGGGGGGGGCGGTAGGAGAAAGCTTTGCCTACCTCCTGTCCAGCATTCCTGCCCCGTGACTCCCTGAGCCCCGGCTTTCCTGGCCTGCTCCCCATTCCCAATTGGCCGTGGCATTTCTGTGACTCAGGGGGGCAGGGCCGGCAGCTGGGAGGCGGGGAGTGGAGGGCAGGGTGCCAGGTTTTCCGCCCCGCTGCCACTGGAGCCCAGCGCCCCGCTCGGGCTATTGTACTCATGGGAGGTCTTAGCTGGTGCGGCCGCCAGCCCGACTGCTCAGGCGCCAGGGCTGTTTCATTATTTCATCAAAGTTCATTATGCTGGGGAGGAGACCAGTAATAAAACATGATTACAAGTGTCTCCAATGAGCACTTAAAGACATAATTCGGGGTGTACTTTTCTGCCGCATCCCTGTTTGTGGCTGCATAACGCATGGAGATTTGCACCTCTGATATACGCCAGTCTTGGCGTTAATTGATGTGAAAAAAGCGCCAAAGAGCTTGATTCAATTTGTCTCGCGCTGGGTTTGGCCTTTTCTTTCGAGAATGATTTGCCATTTTTGAAAACACACAGTTAATTACGTGTGTAAAAGGCAGGTAGGGTGACAGAGGAGACACGGAGAGGCTGAATGGCAGCCAAACAAATCCGCTGTCAGTGGCAGGGCTCGGGGGAGAGGTGGCTTTTTTTGTTTTTCTTCGCCTTCCCCACCCCCTGCCCCTCCCAGCCTCACCTCTTGTCTTTGTGAAGCGGCAGCTGGTGAGAAAGGCGGGCAAGGCGATAGGCGATGCTGCACCTGCAAGAGTTAACAGAAAAGGCTTTCGGTCTTGTCCCTGGAGGAGAGGTCTTGATTGGCTGGGTTGCTGAGGATGGGGGTTGAAGACAGGGTAGGGGGTGCTTCTGTGCATAGGAACTGGGGAGAATCATGCTGGCTGTGGGGGGCCACATCTCTGGATCTTGGGCCCTGGGCAGCACGGGGCACGGCCCTGTGTGGGGATGGGTGGCATAGCTGTGTTGACTGGACATTCTGTCCAGGCTGGCTAGATCCTTGGCTGGCTCACTGGGTGGCATGCAGCAGGCTGCTCTCTGTGGGCCACGGCCTCTCGCCCTTGTAGAACAGGCAGGTCGGCCTGAGCAGTGCTGCCCATCTTAGTCGAGTCTTGGTGATGCCTGTCAACCAAGGAACTTGTCGAAAACAGATCTCCCCAGCCCTCCACCAAAGGGGCCGGGTCAGACTCTCCCTAAGAGAGGCCAGGGGTCAGTATTCAATAAATAAATCTCCTGGATTGATCCATGGCACTTTGCACTTACCCCTTGGCTATGTACGGTGTTCATATCATTGATATGGGATAGAAAACCAATGGGTAATAATAAGGACTCCCTCGGCCTCTCCAATCCTGCTCCCAATCACAAGTAGAGTGCTGGCTCTACTGTGTCCGTGTGTGTGCATTCTTCATGGTTCTGTGTATTGCAGGCTTTTCCAGAGAAATCTGTGCTATAAAGTGAGCACTCATATATCTTTATATTCTTTATCCTTTCCTTTAAAAAAAAAAAGGTAAAAGATGGCATACTATGAACAGAGATCCGTCTCTTGCTTTTCTTTCATTTAGTGTATCCTATAGATTTTTTGTATCAGTTAACAAGGGCAGTAAACTGCTAGAGACAGCAGAGACACTGGCCCTGGCTCAGCGACCTCATGTCGGCAGCCTGAGATTAGCCGCTGTGCTGCAGTGGGCAAAGTCACTGCTTCTGACCCCGGTATTCTATATCAGAGTGGCCTTTCAAGTCCCGGCTGCTCTGCTTCCTATCCAGCTCCCTGCTAATGTGCCTGGGAAAGCAGTACAAGATGGCCCAAGGACATGAGCTCCTGCCACCGGTGTGGGGAGACCCAGGTGGCGTTCCTGGCTCCTGGCTCCAGCCTGGCCCAACCTTGGCCATTGCAGCCACTCGGGGAGTTAACCAGCAGGTAGAAGATGTCTCCCTCACTCCTCTTTCTTTCCATCCATCTCTCTCTGTCACTCTGCCTTTCAAATAAATGAAGTAACTTTTCAAATAAATGAAGTAACTTTTTTAAAGTTAGGGCTCCACCATTACCAGCACAGCACTGGAGAAAGTACATTATTTTATTTATTTATTTATTTTTGTTTAAAAGACATTTATTTATTTGAAAGGCAGAGTTAGAGAGAGGCAGAGGCATAGAGGCAGAGAAAGAGAGAGAAAAGTCTTTCATCCGATGGTTCATTCCCTAAGTGGCTGCAACGGCTGTAGCTGGGCCCATCCAAAGCCAGGAGCCAGGAGCTTCTTCTGGGTCTCCCACGCAGGTGCAGGGACCCAAGCACTTGAGCCATATTCTACTGTTTTCCCAGGCCATAGCAGAGAGCTGGATCAGAAGAGGAGCAGCCGGGTCTTGAACTGGCTCTTGTATGGGATGCCGGCGCTGCAGGTGGCAACTTTACCGGCTACGCCACAGCACCAGCCCTGAAAGTGCGCTATTTTAGTTCCTCAAAGTAACAATGCTGAATAAGGGACCTTCCCTCCTCACCTTTAAAGAAGTGGTGTCTCATAATCTGCTGTACAGGTGAACTCCAGTGTACTTCATCAATCCCCCGCTGATGGGTATTTAGGCTGTGTCTGATCTTCTGCCAATGCCCGCAACACTAAAATAAGCCATTTTGTACTCACATCATCTCACATGTGTACCTGATTAAGACACAGTCCTAGCAGTGGCCCGACTGGGTCAAAAGTCTGGGCCTTTGTTGTTTGGGTAGGCACGGCACTTTGCCTCGAGATGCTGTCCCAGGGAGCACTCCACCAGCAACCCACGAGGAATGGTGCTCCCGCAGCACCCTCCACACCAGCAGCTTCTAACTGACTCCATCCAGGTGGCTGTGTGTCTGAGTATCAATGAGCTTAGAAGGCTTCCTTAGCAGGCCACTTAGCGCTCCTTCTCTGAGAACCAGTGAGCCTTTTACTAGAATGTCTGGGAAGGCCAGCCCACTGCCTGCTGCTGCAGGCTGTTTTCTCCTCCTCCTCCTCTTCTTCTTCCTCCCCTCCTGCTCTTCTTCTCCTTCTTCTTCTCTTTGTTCTTCTTTACAAACGGGGACCCAAGGGCCTGAGAGGAGTGATGAGTTATCCAAACCCCACACTGAGCAACGGCAGAGAAGGGGTGACGATCAGGCATTGCAGCCCCTTCCGATCAGATGGGCACAAGCAATGAGCAAGTCAACAACCCCGCAGATGCCGTCACCACTTGTGTCAAGTGCTATAAAATAAATGTGCATGGGTGGCCTGCCGGCTAGGCACAGCCAGTGGACATGGTTCATTTTGGCCAACATAGTACTTTCCTTTCTAAATTTTCATGTAAAATAGTTGCCAAATTTGAAAACAAGATTTGACCCAAAATTATTATTTCTGGTTTTGTTTGGGGGAAAATGCCAACCGGAAGCATTAGCCTCACTGCATGGAATGTTCTGGTGAGAACAGTCTTCCGGATGGGGGTGGCAGATGCTTGTCTTCGGAAGGGCACACAAGGGCCGGGGCCCCGCAGTCCTCCCCACCACTCCCTAGTGCTCGCCCCTGAGTGTGCTGCCTCTGCCTGTCACCTGTCACGTGTCCTCACGCTGGTGCCGTCCTTGCACAGCTGAGCAGCCCTAGTCTGAAAGCCTAGATTCTGAGATGCTCCAGAGTGAGAAAAATTTCTGAGCCCTGATGCGACCCCACAAATCCGGTGGCTTCCTGTACGCAGAATTCGCTTCTTGCACAAAGTGAGTTAAAATATCGTCTGAAATTACCTTTGGGCGAGGTGGACAAGATATATCTATGGACCTGCATCTATGAATTTCATGTTTAACTTGGGTTCCCTCCCCAAGAGATCTGTGTGTGTGTGTGTGTGTGTGTGTGTGTGTTGAAAAATTCCCAAATCCCAAACTTGTGAAATCTGCAACAGTTCCGGTCCCAAGCATCTGTAATGAAGAGGGAAGTCTGATGCTTCTTGTATCTGTTTCTCTAATCAGCATTGGAAAGCTGGACCCGAGGGCTGCTTTTTCTTTTTTTTCTTTTTTCTTTTTTTTTTTTTTTTTGACAGGCAGAGTGGACAGTGAGAGAGAGAGAGACAGAGAGAAAGGTCTTCCTTTTGCCGTTGGTTCACCCTCCAATGGCCGCTACAGCCGGCGCGCTGATCCGATGGCAGGAGCCAGGTACTTATCCTGGTCTCCCAAGCACTTGAGCCATCCTCCACTGCCTTCCTGGGCCATAGCAGAGAGCTGGCCTGGAAGAGGGGCAACCGGGACAGAATCCGGCGCCCCGACCGGGACTAGAACCCGGTGTGCCGGCGCCGCAAGGTGGAGGATTAGCCTAGTGAGCCATGGCGCTGGCCCTGAGGGCTGCTTTTTAAAAGACATCTCAGGAGCATCTTTTGAGAAAAGACTATTTCTCATGCCTTGAACATGTAGAAATGAAAGAATGAATGAAACACGCACCCGTACAGACTCCGAGGTAAGAGGATGCGAGATAAACTCGGGTGTGAACCCATCAGCTTCCCTCATTCATGTGGTCTTCCTGATGTTGGAAACACTTGTTTTGGGGGAGGGGTCTTCACAGCCTGGCTCTAAAAACCAGCAGCGGTCTCCCACAGGGCTGGCTCCAGAACTTCTCTGTAGGAAGAGTGTAGAGAGGAGCAGGTGAGCGGAAGGGGAGGGGGGCGGAGGAATTGTCTTGTGCTTTTTACGCCAGCAGGCTGATTTTACTGATTTTTTTAAAATCACAGATGGCTAAGGGGAAACATTACAGATGGGAAGGGGATATCGCTTAAGCCCTCAAAGGCACCCCTCACTGTGCACTTGGGTTCCCATATCTACTCCCTGTGAACCTGTGTCCTTGGCCCCATGAACTTGACCGTACAGGGCCTGCTGCCCTCCCTGTCAGGAAGAGTGTGGTGCAGATGCCCCCCTCTCTGGTCTTTCTCTGAGCTCCTTGACAACACGTGGGACCTCAGCCGGTCTCATTTCCCCAGTTGGGATGAGCTGTAACCCCCTGGGACTCTGCCAGATCTCCCAGGGCTGACAGTGGGCTTGACTATGGATGCCAGCAGCCGGACATTCCTACACAGAGAGAGTGGCTGAACGGGCCAGCAGATGATGTTGGCTTCGGGTAGGTTGGCTTAAGGCAGCTGCACCATGCAAACGAGTGGTACCCCCCCCCCCATATGAAAATAAAGTTTGTGCAACTCAAGGAGAGCGAGGAAGACAGCTAAGATCAAAAATGTCTTTTCAGGGAAATTAAATGTCTGAAGAGAGGAGAACTCGCACAGGGGCCTCCCATGGCCCATCCATCACCAGGTGGTCTTCTAGCCACATGTCCAGTGAACATCTGGGTGGGAGCATGATGCAAGGCCCCCTTCCTGCCTTGTCCAGGGCTCCCTCCTTCTGCTGCACCCCTGCACCACACTCTGTGCCCACACACTCTGTCCAAGCAGCCCTGCAGCAGGGGGCCCTTGGAGATCTTTCTCAGCCCCCCAGTTTTGTCCATTTCCATACTGCCCTCTGTATTGCAGCCAAAGGCTGTGATCCTGTCACCTCCTGTTCACAAGCCTTCTTCAGGAGCCCCGGGGACTCCAGGGGAGGGTCTGACTCCATGCCATGTTGGGCAAGACTGCTGAGTCTGGGTGGGCCGCCCTGCCTGCTCCGCCTGTGCCGTCTCCCCTCTGCACATCAGCTTCCTGCTTGCCAGGGGCCTTTGTGCATATGTTTCTCTCTGCCTCGTGCCCTGTCCATCCCTTCCTGAGGACAAAGACCTTGTCTTGCGACTGCTGTGTCCCCCAGAGCCGAGCACTGGGCCCAGCGTGTAGTAGGTGCTCAATGAACACTCGTGCAGTGAGCGAATCTAATGCTTGGTGTGCATGATGGCTCAGGCAGAGTCCCGAGGACATCCATGTGTGTTACCTCGATGCACAAACATAGTTCCATGGCCGCAACCCTCGTCTTCATGCACAGCCTTATAACAAATAAATCCATAAAGAAACTATTACTTTCGGCCCTAGGAAATAAGACCTTTTGCATTTCATTTCATAGAATGTCTGCATGCCTATAATATTTCCCTTATAGCTGAATGGAAATTTCTATGATTTTTAAATGTTTTATTGCCCTTTTACAACCATAGACATAAACACAAAGGTTCCTCAACATAGGAAAATGAAATTCTACTTATAGAATTCTTTATTTAGTGGAGGATTAAGCCTGTGATTATAAAGTAAGTTGAAAGTATGTTATTACAAATATTAAAAGAAAAAAAAGAAAGCAAGGAAAAGAAAGGAGGGAGGGGGGTTGGGATGTATGTGCTTAAGACTGTGTCTATTGGCCAGCACCATGGCTCAATAGGCTAATCCTCCGCCTGCGGCACCGGCACCCTGGGTTCTAGTCCCGGTCGGGGCACCAGATTCTGTCCTGGTTGCCCCTCTTCCAGGCCAGCTCTCTGCTATGGCCCGGGAGTGCAGTAGAGGATGGCCCAAGTGCTTGGGCCCTACACCCGCATGGGAGACCAGGAGAAGCACCTGGCTCCTGGCTTCGGATCAGCGTGATGCGCTGGCCACAGTGCGCTGGCCGTGGTGGCCATTGGGGGGGTGAACCAACAGCAAAGGAAGACTTTTCTCTCTGTCTCTCTCTCTCTCATTGTTCACTCTGCCTGTCAAAAAAAAAAAAAAAAAAAAGACTGTGTCTATGAAACACATGAAATGTGTTCTCTTTATATAAATAAAAATATAAAAAAGAAATAATTAGTTATAATGGCCCATTAGAGAGTGGAAAAGCATAAATTCTTTCCAAAAGTTGGTGGAAAAATGGAATTAAAAGATAAGTTTATTTTGGTGCAAAAATGTGAAATCCATGCATATAACAGGTCTTCAAAAATTCATGGAAATGCATGTAAAGAAAAAACTATTCACCAAAATAAGCTTATCTTTTAATTCCATGTTCCCACAGACTGGGCCCTTGTACCCCTCCAGACTTTTATTTCTCTTTGGGTGAAGAGATGGGCTGTGCCTGAGATCTACTATGTCCTTGGCCATCCAGGTCGCGTCCTTCCCAGGGACTCCCACCAAACAGTGTTGTGTCCCTCCCATCCACCCAGGAGCCGTCAGAACTCGGGGTCAGGGGAGGGACCTCAGAATGCTGTCGGCTGACTCAGTGCAGGAGCATCCCAATATCACCAATTCTTTCCAGCCAGGTGACAAATAAGACCATTGGTACCTGGAGGATGAAAATAAACCAACATGAGTTAAGTTTATCATAGGAACATGAATTAAGCTTATCATATTTTTAAGTTTATTTATTTTTATCTCTTTGAAAGCCAGAATGAAAGAGAAAGAGAGAGAGAGAGAGAGAGAGAGAGAGAGAGATCAACCTCCATCAACTGGTCTACTCCCCAAATGCCCAGTATAACCAAGCCTGGGCCAGGCCAAAGCCATGAGCCCAGAACTCCATCAGAGTCTCCCCGTGGGTGGCAGGGACCCAAGTACTTGAGCCGTCATTGGCTCCCTCTCAGGATGCAACAGCATGAAGATGAATCAGAAGTAGAGGAGCCGGGACTCATACCAGCACCCCGATGTGGGATATGAGTATTGCAAGCAGCAGCTTAATGTGCAGTGCCACAATGGCCGTCCCTCATCTGAGTATTCTTATAGGTCAGTTAGCATAATTTTTAAGATTTCTCCTTCAACACAGGAGTTGATCATCCCACGGCAACACCCGCCCCCAACTCTGATACCAGCCCGCCTAAGACACTCTGCAGAAGAGATGGTTGGCGACTATAGGGCTGAGACCAACCTGGACTTGCACGTAGCTTCCAGCGTGCCCGTTTCCTGCAGGCGTGATCTTGAGCGAGACATTTTACTCTCCATGTCTTGCTATCCTCACACATAAAACAGGATAAACCTGGGAAAGCGCTGGGAAAGCTCCAAGGACCAAAGGCGCCAGGTATGTAGCATCATGGCGTGGGCGGGTCCCAGGCCGCAGGTGCAGGGGTGGGAAAGGGCCTGGGTACTTCAGTGGCCCAAGAACCCACCGGAGTGGGGTCCTGTGTCAACCTGGTGGAGTTTTCTGAGACCCATTCGGGCTCATGAGGATGGAGGGCCGTGGTGTCCTGAGACAGGCGGGGAGGATGAGCAGCCCTTGCTAACAAGATGCCACCCCGGCTTTCCAAGACGTCCCCCTGCAGCGACGCCTCCAGAGAGAACGTGTCTCTTTCCTTAGCATTGCCGTCCGCGTCGGGCAGTGGGGGCGGCCTCTTGAGTCAAAAGCAAAGGAAGCGATGGGTGGGTCAGACACACCGAAGCCAAAGACCCGGCCGTTAGGACCTGTGTGGAGTGGACAGAGGCGGGCAGTGGGGTCGGTGGTGGAGGCGCGTGCGGGGCGGGGCGTAGCTGGCTACACAGAGGTCTCAGGGACGCTGGTGCACAGGTGGGTGTGGGAGGGCCCAGTGCTGGTGGGGCCCCCTGGAGGTGAGGATGAGAGGGGCACACTGAGGAGGAAGGTGAGGAAGTGGTGTCCGATGCCACCTCCACCATCGCTACTGTCTTGCTCATGTGGGTAGAACAGGGACTTTGGTGCTTTTTCTGCTGCTGTCTTTCCTGTGAGGTTGTAAACTACGAATCCAGAGAGACGAAATCAAAGGGCTTCTGCGCCATTTAGCGTTGGGGTGACAAACCGGGCACCCGTTGGCGGCAGACCTACCCGGAAGTTATGTAAGCTTCCACGTGGCAGCAGGAGTCCTTGTCCCAGCCAAGCTCAACGAACTCAGCCCTCGGCTTCTGAGGATAGTGCAGGGATGGGGGTGGGGTGGGGGGAATCCCCTCCCCTACCCCCGCCCTCTCTGGTCTTCATTACACAACCCTTCCCCCAGCTCTCCATACTCCGGAAACTAACATCCTAATTAATAGTAACCATAGGAGGAACCCAATCAGTATTCCAATGTGCCTTATCTCAGTAATTTCAGAAGAGAAGGGAAAAAAAAAAAAAAAACCCGTGGATTTGGAACAACCGTTTGTCTAATAAACAGCAAGCCACCCCACCCCGCCTCCCTGCGCCATTCATTTCCTGCAAAGAAAGCTCTAAGGAGGCTAATCCGCGTCGGCTCCACTCACAACACATTATCATTTTTATCGGCCTCATAAATCGCCTTTCCAGATTACACAAAAATATACATTGCCCCACTGTAATTACTCCAGCCTGCCCCCCACCCCGCCCCGCCACCCCTTCTCCATTTGCGTTTTGATCCCAGGTAAACCCAGTCATTACCCACATCAGTGTGGCTTCCCCAAATGTCAAGATGAAAACGGACCACGGAGACTTACGCAAGACTGAGTCAGCCGAGCAATTTGAACCAATAAATATCAAAGTCGTGTCTAAGCAGAGAACAATTCATTTGATACCACATCTGTCAACAGGCCTGTGGAAGATTTTCCTGCCTGGGGCTCCACCCTGGCGGTCCTGCGGGCTCTTCTTCCTGGTGTTAGGGGCAGCTGGATTTGTCCTCGCCGGAGGATGATGTCCCCAGGCCAGAGACAGGACCCAGGGCCCGGACCAGGGGGATTCATTCCGTGGCCCGGGACTGCAAGCCTCCCATCCGCTATCAAAACGACCTCTCAAATGCCTCGGCCCGGGCAAGCGCGCTCTGCAATTAGCAATTCTTTTTTATTGGTTGATGTGGGCTTCTGGCCAAGAGGAGTTGGGATTGAATCAATATTCCTTTTATTATGTCATCGCAGGCAAATGAATTATGAAAACAAAAACTCAATAAGAAGCTGCCAATGCTAATTACTGGGTAGGATGCAGAGGCACAATAAACAAAGGGTGCTCTGTCCTGGCCCAGCGGCCTCCTTCCTGGGGTTGGGGGCTGTAAGACCCAGCTCTGCCTTTGCCCTTCAAGCCCTGGGCTCCCATAGGGAAACTGGAAAGGATCTGGCCTGGTCTGCCCAGGCCCAGCAGTCTCAGGTGGCAGGGTTTAAACCAACATAATGCTCTTCAGTGTAAGAAGCACTTATTGAGCACCTACTGGGTACCAGGCATTGAGCTTTGCATACGCTGTCCCTGTCTTTACTTATTGCTGTCTCCAGAGTCTGGTGGTGGACAGGATGTGTTGTCAGAACCACACACTCTCAGCCTCAGGTCACGGATGCCGTGCTGTTCACTGGCAACCTGGACGCTCCGAGTCCCGGTTTTCTCATCTTTGAAAGGAGCATTGTCATTGCGCGTCACAGAGTCCCAGGAGGATTAACTGAGAAACCACTTGCTAAATGGTTGACAGGAAGTAAGAACTCAGCAAATGTCGCAAGGGGCTGACGTGGCGGCACTGCAGGTGGGACCCCACATCCGCCCATCAGAGTGCCAGTTTGAGTCCCAGGTGCTCTGCTTCCAGTCCGGATCCCTTCTTAGGCACCCGGGAGGCGGCAGATGATGGCTTCAGTACTTGAGTTCCTGCCAGCCACGTGGGAGACCTGGATGGGAGTTTCAGCTCCTGGTTATGGCTTGGCTGTTAAGGCCATTTCGGGAGTGAACCAGTGGATGCAAGATCTCTCTCTCTCTCTCTCTCTCTCTCTCTATTTCTCTCTCTCTGTCACTCTGCCTTTCAAATAAATAAACCTTTAAACAAACAAAGCAATTGTCACAGATTCTTCTTTTTCCTATCCGTTCTTCTCGCCTGTTCTGGGAGGCTGATGGGTGTTCAGAGCCTGAGGGAGTGGGCAAGTGTGGTGGAGGACGTGTGGAGTGGCATGGGAATAACAATCCACAGCCTTCAGAGCCCACGCTCAAACTCTGTCTACCCAGAGCCTCTAGGATCAACTCCAACAAGTGCCAGCCCAGTGTCTGCTCACTGAATGCCCCACGTGGAAGCCAGGAGCGGGAGCTTCTGATTGGTTTCCCTTTACAGGGCCACAGGCAGCTCATCCTATTTTCAAAGGTGGGCCTGAGGCTCTGTAAGGGGAAGTGAGGACCACGTTTAACACGGAAGATCGGGGCTTTGAATCTGGTCTAGAACCCTTCCCTCTAATCCATGCCTTCTGGAGTAAGGAAGGAAGCCAGCCCTCTACCTCCTGGCCATAGGACAACTGCAGACATCTGTGGGTACCCCAGTCCCCTGTGTGCTTAGGGAAGTGAGGGTTCCCCAGCTGATTTTTCAGGAACTCTAACTTCCACAGGCAGATTAATCAAGGTTTTCCTTGTTAGTTAATTGGAGGCAAATGGCTTTGACTTCTGTTCACATCCTGGCATGTGTGGCTCCCAGCCATCAGATTAGGTAAGTCCCTTGGAATCCCAGGTTGGAAGAACTCCCGTGATAAAGGGCTGCTGGCGGTGGTGGGATCAAGCAAGGGAAAATCAGGCTTCTGTGGAGTGTGGAAGGAGGAGACATGGGGAGAGCTCATGCCCTATTTTATATTAAAGAAATAGTCCCTTCCTTCATGGGTGTGTGATCAATAAAGCAGGTGCTCAGGGGGGTCCTGGGCTTGCAGCTCATGCTCCTTGGTCATCATCAAGCAATTCTGCATGATTTTGTCTTTGCCTTTGTGTTTTGCAAGTGAAAGCTGGTGGAACAACGGCACATGCGCTGGCGACATGGGGCCTCAGCCCCTGCCTGGGGCCACCCCTTTGCAGCCTCCCAACCCAGACGTGGCGGGGTCTCAGCCGTCTACATCTGTGCCTCCACCCGGTGACTACCACTGACGGCCCTCCATTCCAGGCAGGGGCCCCGGGCGCAGGAGCATGGAGAAGTGGCATCTGGGATGGGCTGAGCTCCTTTCCTGAGTGCCCTGAGTGTCTGTGCCCAGGGAACTCCGGCATGAAATAACAAAACACCATGAGAAAGCGAGACAGACAGATGACAGACAGACAGACGGGCTGTGGACGAAAGAAATGTTTTCCCCTTGGTTTTGAATGATAGTCCTGCATTTTCCTTTTGCATTGGCCCTGATGGGATGTTAGCAGGAGCCTGTGGTTGTCCTGAATCACCCCTGACAGCTGAGAGCTGTCCCCGCATTGGCTGCTGGAAGGGAGGTCTATCTAGCTCCAAGACAGAACAGCCTGGTGGTCACCAGGGTGCACTTCGGAATCAGCCTCTGCTGTGTGTCCTTGGGCAAGTGCCTGTGCTTTGCCGATCGCCTGTTTCCTTGTCTGTAAAATGAAGAGAACAGGATTGTCAGGAAGATTGAATGGGAACGGGCGCGTAAGAGCTCTCGGCAATGTGCAAGTGCTGGGTAGGTGTCAGCTGCTGTTGTTCAGCACTGTCACTGTCCTCAGCACCGTCGTCGTTGTCATCTGCATTCTGGTCCTGCTACCCTGGACACATCAGCACCACTTGAAAAGAGCCGGCACAGTGCCTGTTTTGGGCTGGGGTCTCAAACCTCAATAATGCCCTCCCTTATGTGGTGTGGTCAGCGGATCTTGAACTGGGGTGTTGGGTTTACTATGTGGCAAGGGCAGCCTCGTCCACCAGGGTGTTGGGACGACTGGGATAGCCACGTGCAAAAGAGTGAGGTTGGGGTGGGCGTTTGGCTCAGGGGCTGTGATGTGGCTTGGGGTGCCCGCATCCCGTATCAGAGTGCCTGGGGCTGAATGCCAGACTTGCTCCTGATTCCACACTTCCTGCCAATGCAGACTTTCGAAGGCAGTGGTAATGGATATCTGCCACCCACATGGGAGGCTGGGATTGAGTTCCTGGCTGTTGGCTTTGGCCTGGTCAGCCCAGACTGTTACAGTCATTTAGAGAGTGAATCAGTAGACTAGGTATCTCTCTCTCTCTTTCTCTTTCTCTGCTTTTCAAATAAATAACAAAAATTAAAGTGAGATTATAAAATATATATAAAAATATATAAATATATATAAATATTATATATAATATATATTTATATATATAAATATATAAATATAAATATATATATAATATATTCAAAATGTATCAAAGACCTAAATTAAAAGAAGTAAAAACTTTTAGAAGAAAATACAGGAGAAAATCATAATATTGGATTTGGCAACGATTTCTTGGATATAATGCCAAAAGCACAAGCCACAAAGGAGAAAATAGGCAAATTGGATTTTGTCGGAGTTAAAACCTTTGTGCATCAGAACACACTAACAAGAGAGCAAAACAGTGACACACACAATGGGACACAATATTTGCAAAGCCCATCTGATAAAGGATTAATTTCCAGAACCTGTGAAGAATTCCTACAACTCTGCCACAAAAGACCCAACTCAAAATTGGGCAAAGAACTTTCACAGACATTGTCTACAGGAGACACAGCTGGTCAGTAAACCCCTGAGCAAACACCTAAATTCCCTAAGCTTTGGGAACTGCAAGTGAAAACACAGCGAGGGGGGGCGCTGTGGCGCAGTCGCTGAGACTGGCAGCTGGCATGCGGGAGGCCCACATCAGAGTGTTGGTTCCATTCCCAGCTACTCTGCTGCTGGGCTTGCGATCCAGCTTCTTGCTAATGCATCCTGCAAGACAGCAAGTGCTTGGGCCCCTGCCCCCCACGTGGAAAACCTAGGTGGAGTTCTGTGCTCCTGGCTTTGTCCTGGCCCAGCCCTGGTTGTTGCTGGCAGTTGGTACATGAACCAGCAGATGTCTACCTACCTCTCTCTCTCTGTCTCTCTCTCTCTGTTTCTCTGTCTCTCTCTCTCTCTGCCTTTCAAGTAGATTAAAATAAATAAACTTTCTTTTTTGTAAATGATAGGATGGCTGTAATAAAATGTTTTTTTTTTTTTAAATTCCAAAACCAAGAACAGATAGCGTTGGCAAGAATGTGAAAAAATGCAAGCCCATTGTGCATGGCTGGCAAGAGTGTCGAATGGTGCAGTCCCTATGGGAAACAGTTTGGCACCTTCTCAACACACTAAACATGTGACCCACTAATTTCACTCCTAGTGTATCCCCTTTCCCAAATTAAATGCAGGGCCTTGAATGAGTACTTGCCCACTGATGCAGACAGAAGTATCATTCGTAATAGCCAGAAGGTGGAAACACTCAAGTGTCCATTAGAGGATGAATGGACGAACCAGATGCAATCTGTGCAGACAATGCAATATTGCTCAGCCTTAGAGAAGAATGGAACTGGGCCCGGTGCTGTGGCATAGTAGGTTAAACATCCACCTGCAGTGCCGGCATCCCATATGGGCACCGGTTCAAGTCCCAGGTGCTCCACTTCCAATCCAGCTCCCTGCTATGGCCTGGGAAAGCAGTAGAAGATGGCCCAAGTTCTTGGGCCCCTTCACCTGCATGGGAGACTGGGAAGAAGCTCCAGCCTCCTGTGTTCAGATTGCCTAGCTCTGGCCATTGCGGCCATTTGGGGAGTGAACCAGCAGGTGGAAGATCTCTCTCTCTCTCCCTCTTTCTCTTTCTCTTTCTGTAACTCTGCCTCTGAAATAAATCTTAAAAAAAAAAAAAAAGAAATGGAACCCTGCTACAGGATGCACGTGGATGAACTTTCAGAACATTTTAAGAGAAGTATGCCATGGGCCGGCCCTGTGGCGCAGAGGGTTAATGCCTTGGCCTGAAGTGCTGGCATCCCATATGGGCACCGGTTCTAGTCCCGGCTGCTCTACTTCTGATCCAGCTCTTTATGGCCTGGGAAAGCAGTGGAAGATGGCCCAAGTCCTTGGGTCCCTACGCCTGCATGGGAGACCTGGCAGAAGCTCCTGGCTCCTGCCTTCGGATCAGTGCAGCTCCAGCCATTGCGGCCAATTGGGGAGTGCACCAGAGGATGGAAGACCTCTCTTTCTCTCTGCCTCTCCTCTCTCTGTGTAACTCTGACTTTCAAATAAATAAATAAATCTTTAAAAAAAATAAAGAGAGTATACCAGAGCTGAAAAGACAAATGCCTATACGAAGTGTCTAGAACAGTCACACTCACAGGGACAGAACAGAGACGAGGGGTTACTCGGGCTGGGAGAGGTGCGAATGATTCCAGCGTGTCTGTTTGGGATGGTGACAAAGTCCTGGAAATGATGGTGGGAAGGCTTCCCAATACCACGACTGTTCTTATCGTCACTTATCTACCTAAAAGTGGCTAAAACTGGGAATTTCATGTCTTAGCAAAATTAAAAAAAAAGATGACCTCTTAGTTCTCGGGAGCCTCAGTTTTCTCATGTGGGAAATGGCAGCAAGGCTGGATGTCTTGGGAGTTACAAGATTGAACGAGGGAATGCAGGAGGCAGAGCCCCAGGCATGTCCATGAGCAGGAACCAGTCAGGTGCTGGCGTCCTGCACCGGGTCCCAGCCATTCCAGCCAAACCTGGGCCCTCGGCTGTCCGAGCAAGAGCCGCCTGGTGACTAAGAGGCCTGGGAATGACAGCGATCTCGTTGACCCTGAACTTCCCACTCCCTGGAACAACATTTCTGAAATTGTTAACCTTTGTCCCAGTGAGTCCCTCCTCCGATGAAACGCAGCTGGGAAATCAGTGGGCATTGCAAGGCTCTGAGAAGTCCTGCGATTTCAAAAGCGCGTGGAAGGTAGCTAAGCCCGAGATTTGCAGAGCTTCTTTGGGCCTGGTTCTCTTTTTCCACGTAACTCCTACAGGCTACTTCTGGGCACATGCTCGTTGATGGGCACTTGAGGGTGACACACCAGGTAGGCCTGTTAACCAAAGACACAGGCCTAGCTGGGGAACGAGCACACCTACAATTCCATCATCTACTGGATTAATTACGTTCCCCGTCAGCAACTCGTTTACTGTCTGTATGAGTTAACTTGAGGGTTCAACCAAGCTTCCCCGTGCACCTGCTCTGGGTAGGTAAGCAGAGTAGCCAGTGGCTGGGGGTGAGGTATCAAGGGTCAGCCCCCATGGCACTCCCAGCCCAGGAGAAGGCACAGAGCAGAGCACGGATCGCATTGCCAGGTGCACAGGGCTCTTTGGGAACCAGCACACCTGGAATTGTGGGGAGATAGAGAAGGGGGCACAGGAAGTGCCTGCCAGAGAGACCCTTGACCCTGCCATGATCTGAGCGAGCAAAAGAGCCCACGGAGAGGCAGTGTCACATCCCTTCCCTGTCCAGGGCTCCAAGCAAATGGGGTGGAGCTTCAGGCTGGTGACCTCAGTGACCTCAGGTCAGCTTGTTTGACTTACACAGACTCTGAGAAGCGAGTAGCCCAGCAGCCGATAGGAGAATGGAAGGCTTCCCTTTGACCTTTGGATGTGCGTTTCATGCAGGGGACAGCCAGGACGAGCTGACATCTCTGGGCCTGGATTCCCAGGTTGACCTCCCCTCCCCCCTCTCCAGGGGCCTGCTTCAGTCCAACTTATTTTCTACACAAATCCCAAAGGCATTTGAGTTTACAATCTCTGGTGAAGATACCGCCCGCCCCAAAGTGCTCAATACTGTGTATAAGGCATACGTCCATGGCATTGGCATCTGTTGGGGGATTCCGGAAGGTACTACATGCTGATGATGGAAACGGAAGAGCTCTGAGGCTCATCGCCAGTGTGATCAGTTGCCCGTGCGCTCCTCCCTTTCAGGGGATTGGTTCCAGGGCCGTCTGCAGACACCACATGGATGTTCCAGTCCCTCGAATCAAATGGCTCTTGTTTGCACAGGACCCGTGCACATCTCCCATATACATTCAGCCACTTCTGCATTCCTCACTACCCATAATACAACGTACAGGCCATGTGGATAGCTGTTACAAGACAATAAAATGTCTGTACATGATCCACATTTTTTTAAAAAGATTTATTTATTTACTTGAGAGGCAGAGTTACAGACAGAGACATGAGGGAGAGAGAGAGAGAGAGAGAGGTCTTCCATCCACTGGTTAACTCCCCAGATTGCCGCAACGTCCAGGGCCAGGCTGATCCGAAGCCAGGAGCTTCTTCCTGGTCTCCCGTGCAGGTGCAGGGCCCAAGGACTTGGGCCATCTTCTACTGCTTTCCCAGGCCATAGCAGAGAGCTAGGTAGGAAGTGGAGGAGCTGGGATTCAAACCAGCGCCCATAAGGGATGCTAGCGCCACAGGTTGATGCTCAACTCACTACATCACAGTGCCGGCCCCCCACAACTTTAAAAAAAAAATCTGTTTTCCATCTGGAATTGGTCGAGTCCCAGATGTAGAGCCCCAGGCCATTGAGGCCTTAGCCTGTGTCTCTGCTGACTGCTTTTGCCCTCTGCCTGTGGTGTAGCTAGTTTGAAAGCAACCAGTGAGCATTACCAAATGTTCTTAGAAGACTGGCAGTAACATTTACTACAAGTTGTCCTGCTTTTTATAAACAATCAATTGTAACAGGGAAAGGATATTTTCTTTTTAAAGTTTTTTTTTTTGAAGATTTACTTAATTTTTCAGTGACTTGACAGGGGGAGAGAGAGAGGAACCCTCTGTCTGCCGGTTCATTCCCCAAAGGCCTGCAACAGCCAGGCTTGGGCCAGGCTGAAGTCGGGAGCCAGGAACCGCCACTGGATCTCCCACATGGATGGCAGGAACCCAACTGCTTGAGCCATTGCCACTGCCTCCTGGGGTGCAATTACCAGGAAGCTAGCTGGGAAGTGGAGTACCTGGACTTGGACTGGCACTTCAACACTGCATGTCGGTGTACCAAGTAGTGACTTGACCCACGGAGCCACAGCGCCTGTCCTCTGGGATAATTTCCAAAATCACTGGTTGTCTCCTTGGGTTTTCCCTTTCCCTTTCCCTTAATGGTGCTTGTAGCTCTTCCAGAACCAGACAGTTCGGTTGGAGCTGTTTCTTCCAAGACGGGCCAGTTTAGAAGGGGAAGACAGGGAAGGAGAGGAAGGGGAGGAAGGACCAGCTTGTCGGTCACCTCCCCCCGCCAGGCTGGCGTCTGTGTGCCCTTGCCCTGGCCAAGCCCCGATCTCCCCAGCTCACCTCTGAGACTGAATGGATTACATCACAGCTTATTGATCTCAGAGAGCATCTGAGAGGCACTGTGAATTTGGGAGAACCAAGGCTCAGGGAGGTCATGGGGTTTCCCCAAGGTCACACAGCAGTGGAACAGGACCCGAGACTGTCAGCACTCCTTATCCTCCCACTGGTGTTTTCCAGACATCAATTATTCAGGCACTGCTATCAGGATTTCTACTGCGGTATTCTATCATGAATGTGGGGCCAGTGTCGTGGTACAGTGAGTTAAGCTGCCCCTTGTGACATCAGCATCCCATCTGGGCAGCAGGTTGTGTTCCGGCTGCTCCTCTTCCAATCCAGCCTCCTGCTGATGCCCAGGAAAGCAGCCGAAGATGGTCCTCATGCTTGGGCCCCTGTACCCACATGCGAGACCTGGAAGAAGCTCCTGGCTCCTGGCTTTGGCCCATCCTGGCCCTGGCCATTGCAGCCGTCAGGGAGTAAGCCAGGAGAATGGAGGACCTCTCTGTCTCTCTCCCTTTCTCTCTCTGGTACTCTTTCAAATAAATAAATAAATGAATAAATCTTAATAAAATTATATACATGGGAATTTTCCAAAATCAATTTACTCTTCTCAGATAAAACTTAATGTCATTCCCAGAGGTGCTCATTTTACATGAACAGAGGGAATTTTACAAAGAAGAAGGTTGAAAATAAATGCAAATTGGTGTTTGTTTCAAGCCGGAGGCTGCTTTGGGCCTGACTTCAGGCACTGAAGAGGTTGTAAAGAGAAGCCAGCCCCTGGCTGAACCTGTTCCCTGGACCTAAGCAGAAGAGCGGTGAGAAAACGGAGAGAGAACTGTTTTCTATTGGGTGACTTGATGTTGTCTAGCGTCACATGTGTCCACCATGCACCTCTGAAACTAAGCTGTCTGCATCGGTGAGCGGCCGCAGCCGCCAGCTGTCGCCAGGGCCGGCAGGGCGGGTGGCAGGTGCGTCACATCCTCTAACATGAGGCAGCGTGGCGAGCTAGCTGTTCCTGTTAGCACTGCCGTTCCACAAAGCCGCTGGTGCCAGCGCCGCTCTCAGCTCTGAGGGGCCTCAGGTACCCTGTGCGTCGCATCCACTCTCTGGTCCAGCAGCGTCGAGGCTCAGCCCAGAAAAACAAATGACAAGCCTATCCCTGGGCAGCCACGACCCAAACCAGCCCTGTTCATCCGAGGCTGGAACAGCGACTTCCTTGAGATGTGCAGGTGGAGTGGGGCAAGCCGGCACCTTGCGTAGACACCTGTGGGCCAGACTCCTGCGCTGGATCTGGGCTCATTCTTTCCTCCTTCCTTGTGAACTTTCTGTCCTACCCCGTAATTAGTCCTGGCAGCCTCCTATGGGCTCTTTTGTTTTCATAATTCATTTACTTTTGATGATATCATAAAGAGAGTGTATAAATTTCACCCCCTCCCCTTACCGTCCTGGCCCCACGCCCACATCCACTAATACAAAGACACTAATTGCTCCTTGCTCTTATGCCAGGCGCTTTGAAAACATCTTTGGCTAATGGATGGAATTAACCTTGTTTAACGTACAAATCAACAGCCTAATTTGCCATGAATCCCGACTCTGCGGCTCCACGACTATGGCTGGGAGGAAATGACTTCCCACTCGCCCTGGGCACCACTGGGGAAGGCACCTATGGGTGCCCGCCCTAGACAAGTCTTCCCTGGGCACCCCTTTGCCGAGATAAGATCGTCTGTGTGTAACTGATAGGTCTGTTCTCACTGCCTCCCAGGAATGTGACACCGTCCTGGTGCACAGGAGGGGCTGGGCCATCCTGGATGAAGTCACCTGTGCCCCCATCTCCACACAGAGCATCCACCGCATGCCAGGCTGAGTTCTAGCCTCTGGCCCAAGCAGTAAGAAGGTGTGGTTCTTGCTTGCGTGGAAGTTACTTCCCTGGGGATCAGGCAGCATACATACCAGCACACACTCACGCATCAGTAGCATCCTTTGTCCCTGGGGGCCACACTTCAAGGCCAACCGGGGATGTCTGAGACCATGGATCGCACGGAACTCTGAACGACACACGCACACACCTGTGACAAAGCATAAGAGATGAACACACACAATACTATGTTAGGACACCCATAACAACATACTGGAATGAGTTATGTAAAAGTGGTCTCTCACTCTCTGTCAACCTCAGTCTGTCTCAAAATAGCGTAAGGTAGAGAGTCTGCCCTTATCCATCCAAGAGACTCAATCCATGCCTGAAACTGCATGAAGTCTGGAACCCAAACAGGTAACACTGGTTCCAATATACACACTGCTGTTCCCTGTATGGTAGGCATAACCTCTGGGATCGGAGGTGCAACCGCCAAACTAGGGCAAATTTCCGTCTTCTTACTTGCATTTCCACAGAGGGGATTCGTTCCTAGCCTAGGTCTTAGCGACCTTAGCATCACTTTTTTTTTTCTCTCCTTATGAATTCAAGAACTCCACCGTTTCTGTTCAAGGTAGCACTCCCACTTCCTCGATGGCCAGCATCCCTCCTCTTGTGCTCTGAGGCCATTATGAAGTCAATAAGAGCCATTATGAAGTCACTGCCCTGTGACAGTCAGTCTGACACCTGGTAGGGCTACTAGGTGACTGATGGGCCGGCAGTGGCACCAGCACGGGTGACTCATGCCAGAGCAGGACAAAGCAAAGCAGCCATGAGACTTCAGCCCGCTGCTCAGAATGGCGCGCGGTTCAAGACTAACAAGTGCTTTATTTCTGGAATCTTCAGTACTTTAGGATTGTGGCTGACCATGGGTAACGGAAACCACGAAATCAACACCATGGAGAAGGGAGGGTGACTGCTGTACTCTCTGGTCAATCCACCCAGGCCTGATAAGCCCATGGACACACCTGCGTGTCTGTAGCTTGCTGGCCTCAGGCTTCCTTGATTGCCTGGTGGCTTCAGCAAGATCCAGATAGGCTCACAGTGCACAGGAAATACTGAATAAATGAATGGATGCTCTCAAAGAGCTTATAAATAAGTGAGTCCAGCTTAAGGGAGGCAGATAAGTGCAGGTTGCTACCGTTGGTCACGTGCTTTGTATAAACCATCTGTATCTAAAATCATAGCATGCCCCTGTCTCAGTCCATTCTGTGCTGCTATAACTGAACACCTGATACGCGGTCATTTACAGAGAACAGAGACTTATTTCTTACAGCCTTGGAGACTGGGGGCCCAAAGTCAAGGGCCCATACATCTGGCAAGGGTCTTACTGTGTCATCGCTTGGTGGAAGGCAGAAGGGTAAGAGAGCATGGCAGAACGAGATGGCAGAACTCCTTTTGTAACGCACAGGTTCTTGTGATCGCAACATAGATCCACTGATCCAGAGTCCCTGTGACCTTATGGTGCCCCCCAACATTGTGGCACTGCTGATTGAACTTCAGGGAACACAAATTTCATCCCGGAAATTGAGGCGACACCTGTGCACGTCCTCCTGAGGAGCAGAGAGCACCCCTCCCTGCCACACCTGCCAGCTGGGAGCACCTTTGCCCTGGCTCAAGTCTCTCCTCCGCCCTTCTTCTACCCACCTCCTCCTCCCACCACTACGGATTGGATGTTGGCCAAGGCCAGCCAGGAGGCACAAGAGGCTCCGGGGTTTCTTTGCAGTGTACTGAGCTCTTTGGGGGCAAAAGTAGCTGGAAAGTGGTGGCCTAGCCCGCTAAGAGGCAAGACGCGGGCTGTCGCTCCCCCTCTTCGTGGAGGAACGACACAGGACCCTGCGCTGTTCTTTCGTCTGCTCGGCCCTCCCCGGGTTTGCTGCTGGTTCTTCCCGGGTTGGCTACTATCCCTTCCACCTCCGTGGAAGGGCAGTTCCCCCTGGCCACATTCCCCACTTCCGCAGGGGAGCAGCACACCGCCGGCCGGCTCTCTCGGGGGCTGCACGGGTGTTCCTTCAGCTAGATGTTCCCCTTAGATGTTCCTGGTGCATGTTGTCTCTCTCCTCCTTTATAGTCCTCCTCCGCCAATCCCAACTCGGCTGCCCACACGCCGAGTACGCTGCTCTCCAATCAGTAGCAAGTCCTACAGTTTATTGGTTGAACTGGAGGCAGCTGTGCGGAAGCTGTTTACTTCTCTCCCAGCGCCATATTGTGGGAGAGCAGATGCATAGAATAAGTCTTAATTCCAGTAACTTAGTCCAGTCCGGATTGCTCCCCACAGCGGGCATGCTGGGAAAGGAAGGAAGCCGTTGCAAATCCTGAGGTCTGCAGTTGTGTGAACGGGATTTGCTGCGTGGCCTGAGGTTGGGACTAAAGAAGATGTGTGTGCGCACATGTGTGTGCATGTATGTACATGTGTGTATGTGTGAGCATATGCATGTGTGTGCATGTGCATGTGTCCTGCCTATACAAACATGGCAGTCAGCCCGAGGCAGGCAGTGGAGGAAAGAACATGGATAGAGCACTCTCATGGCCAGGTTCACGCCCCTGCTCTGCCCCTCCCTACTGCGTGGCCTTGGTCAAGTACTGTCTCTCTCACACCTCAGTCTTCCCATCCTCAGACTGAGAGTTTAATGTCTGTGTTGAGATACTGGCAGGAACATACCCAGTTTCGACACCACCTCCCAGTCTTTCTTTGTGAGTCCGAAGTTGTGACTGTCTTTATTAACTTTAAGCACTTTTCATAACAAAGGCAAAAAAAGAACTAGAGCAGATTTTGGTTTGCAGAGATATTGCACGGGCAGTGCACAGCATCCTTATCTACTTGGGACCCACTCTTTCCTGTGCTTAGCATATCACATTGGTAGGGTGCCATCGTCACAGCTGATGCACATGAGTTGATACATTGCTATGAACTAAATAAAGCTCATATTTTACTGCTATTACTTCCTTTTTTTATCTAATGTCCCTTTTCTGTTCTGGAATCACACCCCGGATACTGCACCCCAGACACTCCTGGAGCTCCTGTTGGCTGTGAGTTTCTCAGTTTTGTTTTGTTTATCGTCAGTTTATTTCAGAGACAGAGAAGCCTTCCGTGTGGGTGGCTGGAACTCACGTACTTAGGATATCACCTGTTGCCTTCCAGGGTGTGCGCTAGCAGGAAGCTAGAGTTGGGAGTGCAGCCAGGCCTCCAACACAGGCACCCTGATTTGACACGCGAGTTCCCCCAAAGAAGTTTAAATTGCAAGGCCAACCCCCCGCCCCTCCCTGACAGTTTTGAGCAGGACTGCTCTGGTATTTTTACAGAATGTCCTTTGGTTGGGATCTGTCTGATGCTGCCCTTATTAGTACAAATGAATGATGGGTTTTGGAGAAAGCCCTGGGAGAAAAGTGCCTTTCTCACGTCCACGGTGCCTCCTGTCCACCTGACTCGTCACTGTTGATACCTGGCTCAGGTAGCATTTGTCAGCTTTCTCTGCTGTGGGGTCACGTCCCTGCCTCCTCCTCTTTGTGCTGTGCTCCGTGGAAGGACGTCGCCACGTGCAGCTCACGCTGAGCAGTGCAGAGTTAGACCCAGCTCCTCAAGAACGGACGAGAGACATAATTATCTGGGGTTTCTCTGCTGGGGAGTTTTGTCTCTTCTCCCCTACTTATTTATTTATGAGTATTGTTTATTCATAATTTATTTATACCAGTATTGGTCCATGGATATGTCCCTTATGCTTGGGATTATAATTCAGTACCTGCTTTATTTTATTGTTGCCATGGTTTCAGTTTTGGTCCTTGGGAGCTCTTTCAGTTGGCTCCTTTGAAATGTCCCATCTGGGCCGGTGCTGCGGTACAGCAGGTTAAGCCGCTGGCTGGCATTTCTGCATCCCCACCAGAGTGGCAGCGATGAGCCCTGGTTCGCCTGCCTCTAATCCACTTCCTACTAAATGCTTGGGTCCTCACTGCCCACGTGGGCGACCCCGACTGAGTTTAGGGTTCTTGTCTTTGGCTTGGCTCAGTTTTAGTTGTTGGAGGCATTTGGGGGAGTGAATCAGTAGATGGAAGATCTCTCTCTCTCTCTCTCGGTCACTCTGCCTTTCAAGTAGTTGAAAATAAATAAATAAACATTTTAGAAAATGTTTTAAAAAAGCAATTGCTTACTGTATGGCACTAAATTAGATTATTTTATACATGATGACTTTAAAAAGTTTGTGGAAAAGTGAGATTAAAATATAAGTTTATGAGAAGGTATTGGGTACAGCAGTTAGGATGCTGTGTGGGACACCCACATCTCGTATCAGAGATCTTTGGTTCAAGTACCGTCTCTACTTCCAATCCATCTTCCTGCTGAAGCACACCTTGGAATGTGATAGCTCAGCTTCCTGGGCCCCTGTCACCCACATGGGAGACCAGATTGAGTTCTGGGCGGGCTCTTGGCTTCAGCCTGGTGCATCCTTGGTTGTTGCAGGCATTTGGGCAATGAGCCGATAGACAGATGGAATCTCCTCTCTCCTCTCTCTCTCTCTCTCTCCCTCCCTCCCTCTGCCTTTCAGATAAAACAAACATAACAAAATAAAAATTCAAAGAGAAAAGTAAATTGACTTTGGTGGAGAAAGTTTTGAAATGTGTGCATAGTTTCTTCCTAATAAACATTTTCCATAACCTTTGGGAATACTCCTTGTATGTTTCTTGGCTCAGTCCTAAATCAGCCGTTTCTTCAAAGACTCCTCATGCCAGTTTTTTTTTTATTATTTTTTATTTTTGACAGGCAGAGTGGACAGTAAGAGATAGAGACAGAGAGAAAGGTCTTCCTTTTGCCGTTGGTTCACCCTCCAATGGCTGCTGCGGCCGGCGCACTGCGCTGATCCAAAGCCAGGAGCCAGGTGCTTCTCCTGGTCTCCCATGCTGGTGCGGGGCCCAAGCACTTGGGCCATCCTCCACTGCACTCCCTGGCCACAGCAGAGAGCTGGCCTGGAAGAGGGGCAACCGGGACAGAATCCAGTGCCCGGACCAGGACTAGAACCCGGTGTGCCGGCGCCGCAAGGCGGAGGATTAGCCTAGTGAGCCGCGGCGCTGGCCCTCATGCCTGTTGTTCAAACCAGCCTCTGGGTATGGCTGTGCCTGTTGTGACTGCGGCGTCATTTCTCCTGGGCCCCCTTGGGTGACAGAGACAGGACGTGTATGCCTGTATTCCACCCCAGGAGTGATGGTAAATGTTAGGTATCCATTGCGCTGGCTGCGGGGATGTCCAGATGACCGGTCATGCATTATTTCTGGGAGAGTGTTTCTAGAAGAGGTTGGCATTTGAATCAATTGATTGAGGAAGGAAGGCCCGCCCTGACCACCATCCAATTGACACAGAGCCTGGATGGAACCAGACGGCAGAAGGAATGCCCCGCACCCCCTCTTTCCTGGGGCTGAGCCTCCCATCTTCTGCCCTAGCGCATCAGAACTCCAGGGTCTCTGACCTTCAGACCCCAGGACCTCACCAGCAGCTCTCGCTTCCTGGGTCTTTGGTCTCGGACTAAGGTTAGACCACAGGCTCCCCCGTTCCCAGGGCTCAGGTGTGACTGAGCCGTGCTACCGGCTTCACTGATTCTCTCGCTGTCAGATAGCACAACAGGGAACTTCTCAGCCCCCATACCACAGGGGCCAATTCCCCTAAAACAAATCCCCTCTTACCTGTCCACCTATCTGTATCCATGCTTTAGTGTCTGTTTCTCTGGAGAGCCCTGACTAATCCTACACACACACACACACACACACAAGACATTTCCAAAAATTTATAGAAAATGGAATGAAAAGGTAAATTTATTAGGCCCCAAAAATTGAAATCCATGTCTAGTTT